CAGAATGACTCGCTGTCACCCAGCCGTTCTGAAGCGTCAGTGACAGCAAGCACAAAACTTGTGCCAAAACGGCTGAGGAGGAGGAGGGGGGGAGGAGCAGGGGGAGGAGGAGGAGGAGGAGGAGGAGGAGGAGGAGGAGGAGGAGGAGGAGGAGGAGGGGGAGGAGGAGGAGGAGGAGGAGGGGGAAGAAGGCGCAGGCCTCCTCACGAGGTGGCGGGGCGTCGCGGAAGCCCTCGCGCTTTCGGAGAAGCTCCCTGGGACTCCGGACAAGGCTTACAAGGCTTCGGTTTGGAAGCCGCCGCCTTCTGAGAAGGCCTGCCCCCTCTCTCCTTGCGAGGGCTTCCGAGAGACCCCGCCGCCTTCTGAGAAGGCCGCCCACCTGGGCTCGCGGCCGAACGTCAACGTAGCAGTCGACGACGACGAAGTCGAGCATGACAGCGTAGGTCCACGGGGCCCGACGACGCAGTCGACAACGGCCAGACGGTCGACGACGACGACGACGACGGCGACTTCGTCATGGCTCCGACGTCGAAGACCACGGCGACGACGTGGCCCCGACGACGACGTCGGCGTCGTCTGTCCCTTGAACCAGGATGGACAGGAGGTGAGAAATTGGAGGAAGTGAGGAGGAAGGAAGCGTGGGGGGAAGGATGGATCCGAGAAGGAGCAACAAACAAGGAACACCTTTTCGGAGGCGGTGAAAAACCGGCCTTGCCGTTTCCGGGGCCCACTAAGGGAATCCTCCGCCTGCGCCTCATCCTCCTCCTTCCACCCACCGCTCTTCCTGCCCCTACCATCCTCCTGCTCCTCCTCCCGTCCAACTTCCTGCTCGAGGGTCTTCACTGCCCCTCGGTACGAAAAGTCCTCGCCAGCGGTGACATCAATCTTTGAGAGCAAACCCTGGGCACGCCTGAGTTGGAGCTGTGGCCAGTAAGCGCGCGGATTCTGCATGGGCATGCTGTGCTCTGGCGAGGCCTTGCACGGGGCATGATTCTACCAGCTGGCAGAGAGGCATCGGGCCCACGCTGGAGGTGACAGCAAGGACATCCTCCTCCTCCTCCTCCCCCTCCTCCTCCTCCTCCTCCTCCTCCTTCTCCCCTCCTCCTCCTCCTCCTCCTCCTCCCTTTCCTCCTCCTTCTCCTCCTCCCCTCCTCCCTCTCCCCTCGCCTCCTCCTCCATTCGACCCTCTTCCGTATAAAGGAACCCCCGGGCATGTTGGTGGGGCGGGCTGTACATGTCGCCATAGAACTGTTCCCCACTGCTGGCCATCGCTCGTACGTCCATTCCCTGTTTTTTCGGTTTCGTGTGTGCTTTTTTCGCCGAATGATCAAGAATGCTCCTCGAGGGTCCTCGCCGAGGAAAAAATGCAGACGTCCGAGCGATGCCAAGGGATGGACATTTCTGGTACTTTTCAAAATGTGGCTCTCGCCAGGGCGCCGCGCGAATTCGTCTCAGCATCTTGCAGCTGCTTGCGAGACAGACCACTTCAAGAGGTGGCTCTCGCCTTAGCGCCGCGTTCGTCGTAACATGTTGCCGCAGCTTGCAGGATGGCCCCTGGACGGCTCCCAAGGAGAGATGCGACTCTCGCCTGAGCGACGCGCACATTCGTCCCACCGTGCTGCAACGGCCTCAGAGACGGACGGCAGTTCGTGTCCAAAACGTGGCTCTCGTCCATCACTGTGCACACTGGCCTTCAAAAACAAGGCAGCGGCTTCAGTGAGGAAGCGCCTGTGCTTTTCTAAGCGGGGCTCTCGCCTCGGCGCCGATCCCAAGTGCAGCAGCCACTCCCAGGATGGAGGGCGGCTCCGTTTCACGGTATGGCTTTCGCCCCAGCGACGCGCACCATCGTCCTCGGAATTTGCAGCAGCTTTCTGATGGAGCGTTTGGCCAATGTGGCTCTCGCCATAGCGCTACGCGCATTCGTCATAATAGCTTGCATCATGTTCAGGGATGGAGGGGGTGCTGCTTTCATAATGGGGGTATCGCCTCAGCGCCGTCCGCAGAATTTGCCTGCTTGCAACACCTACTAGGATGGAGGGCGACTCATTTTTCACACTGGGGCCTTCGGCTCAGCGCAAGGCACATTCGTTTTGGATGTACATGTGGCCATCGATTCAAAGATGGAACACAATCGGACCTAAGACAAAACTCCCCGAACCGGCCTCGATTTACTGCCTCGGTCCGACTGCACACCTCGTTTTCAAAATGGGGCGCTCGCCTTAACGCCGCGAGAATCGGTGTTAAAATCTGGAGGTAGTTTTGAAGGATGGCAGACGGAGGATTGATGAAGGCCGACCAGGACGCGGCGACGCGGCAACGACGCCACGGCCAACCGAACCGAGCCGACCGAATGCACCGACCGCGACCCAGCCACACCGATCGAACCGACCGCGGACGCCCTTGGTGGCCATCTTCCCCCCCTCTCACACCCCCTCCCCTAGGCCCTGGGTCCCCTCCTTCCTCCTGGCCTCCCGACGCTCCAAGAGGCCCCAGGCAAGGGGGCCGGTAACGCTCCCAAGCCTCGATCCTCGAACCTCCAGGATTGGGGATGAGGAGGAGGAAGCCTTGCGCGCGGTCACGTGAGTCGACCGTCGATCGCAAAGTTCCGAAACTCGGGGAAGGCCTACCTCGCACGATCGCGTACTGCTTTCACGGAGTGACGCGACGCGCGCCCCGTGCAGCCCACCGTGCGAGAAGGGTGAGGCCCAGACACACGAAGCTGCAAACAGACGCGCAACATCGCGAAGCATGACGGCCGAATCCCTAGTTCCTATTTTTTTGCGGCGCAATTTTCTTCGGGTGTTGCTTGAAGTGCCCCTGGCCTAAGGTGCCCCTGGCTTTCCGCGCACTTTTGGAGCCTCTGGGGCCCTCCGGGCTTCGTGAAGGGCCCCCTGGAGGCCGTCTGGGCCACCCCGAGAATCCTGGGGATACCTTGGGCCAGGGGTACTTCCAGCAACACCCGTTCTTGTGGGCCAGATCGGCATGAGATGGCCCCGGGGGCCAGGCGAACACGCCCGGTGCGAACAAAACATGCAGCGCCAGGATCTCAGATCGGGGAGACGTACGACCTGGGTACGGGGGACTCGGTAATCCCCGACGAGGTCGTCAAAAAAATGACGAGGCCGAGCCTGCATTTTGACGAGGCCTCCCGCTGCAAACATCCCAGAAAACTTCTCCTCGTCAAAATCCGAGTCGCGGTCGTCAAAAAACGATGGCGGGTCTTACGCTCCCCCGATCAGAGAAGGAAGACCGATCGAGGTTCTCGGACCACCGCTCGGGCCTCTTCCAGCCGCGGCCGCGGCTGCGTCTGCAGCTCTGGCCGCGCTTGTGGCTGGATTTGGGCATGGGGGGAACCATCGCGATTTTTTCGTGATGGCTTTCTTCTTCCAGCTTCGGGAGCGGCCAAGAGAGGGGTGTCCAAGAAGAGAGGGTGCAAATCGTGACCGGCGGCATGTGCGCGGCCAGGCGGGGGGGCCAGGGACGCAATGAAATAGGAAGAGGCGCCATGAATTCTGGGGAAATATCATGGTCCACGCCATGATATCCACCCCCCCTAGTCATCACCCTCCTCTTTTCCGCCCCCGACAGCTGCGGCTGGCCGCGGTCGCGGTGGCGGCCGTCCGGAACGATCCGCGCGCCCTCGGAGCGCTCTCGGCGAGCCGCAGCCGCCTGAGGGCGCCCCGAGGCTGGACGAGCGCCCGGCACCGACGAGGACTTGCGGAAACCGCGACCTCGACCCCGAGGTGGAGGAGGGAGATCGGCGGCGCGCGAGGGGGGAAGTGAGGAGGAGAAGGCCCTCGCAAAGGCGGCGGAGCCTTGAACGCGCAGTTTTTGCGGCGCCCACCGTGTGGCCCGGGTGTCCCGCTGCAGGGGTCGTTCGGCCGTCCGCGCCAGGGCGCCCAACTCCGCAAGCGAAAATGCCCTGGCACGCGAACACCTCGGGTTCTCAGAAGCCCTCTGGCCTTCCGAGAAGCTGTCCGTGTCTTCGGCACGAAGGCTCAGGCTTGAACAACTTCTCAGAGAAGGCCGGGGGACTTCCGAGCCGCCTGAGAACAGAGGCCTCCCAGATGGGGTCCGAATAGATGGGGTCGGAGGATCTCGCAGCATCGCTGATACATCGGCCATGCATCGGCGATGCACTGGCGACGTCGGCGATGCGTCGGCGACGTCCGCGTGGAGAAAATGTGGGCCCCACATCGAGCCGCATCGCCGATGCATCGGCGACGTGGCACGACCCTCCGACCCCTATCAACTCCGACCCCATCTAGGAGGCCTTCAGTTAGGTCGGGTATGTCCTCCTACAGGCGGGTTTTGGAAGACAAGTGAACTATAGTCACCAAATACTCAAAAAAGTGAGAATAGTAGAACACATCGTCCCCAGACTATGTTTTGCCTGTTCTGGAATGTTCCTCCTGTAGAGGGACATGCCCGACTTAAGCCTAGAGAGAAGGCCTTCTCCTTCCCACGCTCCCCCCGTGGGCGCGCCGCCGAGAGGAGGAGGGGGAGCAGGAGGAGGAGGATGGGGAGCAGGAGGAGGAGGAGGAGGGGGAGCAGTGAGGAGGGGAGGAGGAGGAGGAGGAGGAGGAGGAGGAGGAGGAGAGGAGGAGGAGGAGGAGGAGGAGGAGGAGGAGGAGGAGGAGGAGGAGGAGGAGGAGAAGGAGGAGGAGGAGGAGGAGGAGGAGGAGGAGGGGAGCAGGGAGGAGGAGGAGGGAGGAGGAGGAGGAGGAGGAGGAGCAGTAGGAGGAGGAGGAGGAGGAGGAGGAGGAGGGGGAGGAGGAGGAGAGAGGAGGAGGAGGAGGAGGGGGAGGAGGAGAGGAGGAGGAGGAGGAGGAGGAGGAGGAGGAGGAGGAGGAGCGGGGAAAGGGGAGGGGGCGGAGGAGGAGGAGGGGGAGGAAAGCCCAGAGACAAGGCCTTCTCCTTCCCACGCCCCCCCCCCCCCCGCGGGCGCGCCGCCGAGAAGGAGGAGGTGGGCTCCCCGCCCCCCCCCGCGGGCACGCCGCCTTGAACTCCTGCCCCGGCAGGGGCGTGCAGTGCCCGCCCGTGCGCCGGGGCCGCAGCAGGAACCCCTGCTCGGTCTCCCCGGGGGGGCCCCTGCGGGCGGCACGGCGCGCAGGCCGGCGCCCCTCTCGCGGGCCGGGCGAGAGGGGGGATATCAAAAGGGGGGGGGGAGAATCCCTGACCTTCCTATTTTTTAGCACTGGAGACCTAAAACCTAAAAAGCCGAGCGAAACAGCCTAAAACCAAGACGTATAATAGCTTTGGGATAGGTTTTTAAGTCGGGTGCTATTTTTCAGCCCTCCTGGAAGGTCAGGGATCAACTCACGCAGCGGATTTGCCCGGCGCCTCCCGGCGCCGGGAGGCGGCCATGTATATCGAGGAAGGGGCCCGGCGGCGGGGCCGAGGCGGGCTGCATGCAGCTGATTTCGTAAGCCCCCCTTTCCCAATCCCCCCCTTTCGTCCGGCCCGACTCTCGCGGGGGCGCCGCGGACGGGCACCTTTGACGACCCACCAGACCACCCCAACCCAACCCGAATTTCGGGTTGGGGGACGGGTGCGGGTTCCACCTGTGCTTTCTCGGTGCTCACTGAGCCCCCACAAACCGAGGTCTCCGGCTTGCGCGTTGGGGTGGCTTGATGGGTGGTGAACTCTTGCCGGTGACCCGGCGAATGAAGGGGCCCTGGGACACACAAGTAAATACACACAAATAAACGAATCCCCCACACATTTTCATATATTTTCTGGGTTTTGGTCTTCCCCCCCAATTCCCATATTTTTTACATTTTCCTGGGAGTGGACGATTAATTGTGTCTGTGTTTTTTTTCCCTCCTGAGCGAACCCGACCCTCCCCGATGTGGGCAGCGCCGCAGTGCCAGAACGAGGTCCCGTGGTGACTTGTACCCGCTGTGCGGTGCTGCTGCCCAATGGGGGGGTCGGGAGCGGCCAAGAGGGGGGTGTCCAAGAGGGGGGGGGTGCAAATCATGACCGGCGGCACGTGCGCGGCCCAGCGGGGGGGGGCCGGGGGCGTAATGAAACAAGAAGAGGCGCCACGTGAGGGCACGCTCCACCAGCTCGAGAAACAGGTGCCAGACACAGCCGAGATCCACGGGGGGCAGCAGGGGGGGGGGGGGGCGTGCGAGGGCCCCGCGCCGATCGGCAGAACTGCGAGTCCGACAGCGATCACACCCAAAATTAAGTCGGGCGTGTCCCCCTACAGGGGGATTTTGGGCGAAACATGGAGAATACCTTTCCAAAATTGCCCAAAAAATCCGGACAAAATAGTCCCCAGACTATCTTCTGACTGTTTTCGAATATTCCCCCTGTAGAGGGACAGGCCCGACTTACACGTAAGAGCCGGCCGCTCTGGTCGGACGTCCCCGGGGCGCCGCGGCCCCCTCCGAGCGCTCCTGCTCGGAGGACGCTCTGGACGCGGCGGCTCTCTCGAGCCTCGGCGATCCCTCGCCCTCGCTCCGACGCCCGGTCCCCGCACGTGCCTCGATGCCGCGCGCGGAGTTTTCGCAAGGCGATGCAAGGTACTCCTCGATGGCCCTCGCCGGAGGAAAAGTGCACGCGACCGAGCGATGCCGAGCAAATCGAGAACTTCTGCGATGCGGCGGCTCTGGAGGATGTCTCGGGCGCCTCGGCCTTCTCAGAGCGTTCCGGAGCGCTCTGGAAGGATTTATCCTCGTCCCAGCCACGCCCGACCAAGGGTGACCCACCTTCGGCTTGGAAATTCGGCCGGCGCTGAGATATGTAATCGAAAAGGAATGTGAGGAGCTGTGGCGAAAGAGTGTGAGGAGCTGGGGCGAAACCATCACTCAGACCTGGAGTGTGGCCCGTGCCGGCGCGACAGGGCAACTCCGAGCCAGGGAGAGCACCATTTTTAACAGGACTCGCCGGCCGCGATGATGCGAGAGCACCAGTCTGGGTCGGGAGTGTGGCCATGGCTGAGGCGGAAGCACCAGCCGAGCTGGGAATGCGGCCAGGGCTGAGACGATAGCTCCATGCCTCGCCACGAGTGCAGCAAGCGTTAAGTCGGGCCTGTCCCCCTACAAGGGGACTTTCGACGAAAATTAGAAAATTCCAAAAAATAATCCGAAAACAGTCCAACAATGGTCCGGGGACTATCTTTTGAGTACTGTTTGGCCTTCTTGGGGTATGTTTGGTGTATTTCATATTTTTCGACGAAAATCCCCCTGCAGGGGGACACGCCCGACATGAGGCCATCGCCTCATCGCGATGCCAATCTTAGGGATTCCCTTAGTTTCTCAGGGCGCATCCCTAAGATTGTCATCGCCTTTTGGCGTGTCAATCTTAGGGATGGGGAGAAGTTCGAGGCTGGTGAACGAGAGCACCATGCCGCGCCACGAGTGCGGCAAGCGCTCGCTGACGCGAGAGCACGTGCCCCACGGCGATATATGCCGCGGAGCGGCAGCAGCCGCCCAGACTCGGGGACACTGGAGGCTACCCCTAAGTCGGGCCTGTCCCCCTACAAGGGGGACT